TCTGTTGCCGGACACGGAAAAAAAAAAAAAAAAAAAAAAAAAAAAAAAAAAAAAACTAACGTGTCAGGACTGTGTTTGCCCATGAATACAGAAACTCATAATAATACTGTTTTAAACAAGTTAGATTTGTTTTTCTCATGTAAAAGTTGGGAAATAGGCATCCACTGCTCCATGAAAACACCAGGGGCCTTCTGTCTCGTTCTGCTCTGCCTGGCCTCTGTTCGCAAGGGTACCTCAGGGTCTAACACAGATGCTCCAGCTCCAGCCATCATTCCTACATTTCAGCCAGCAGGAGGAGAAACAGAAAAAAGGAGGAAACAAAGCATCCAAACCCTGAAGAAGGTTCCCATGCTGTCTCACACTCAAATCCATTTTCAGAATTTAGCCACATGGTCACACCTAGCTGAAAGGAAGGTCAGGAACTATTATGTTGGTTCTGAATGTCTACAGGCCTAGCTAAAAAGCAGGGTCTCTGTTACTGTGGAAGTAAATAAAGAATGGGCAGCAGGCAATGACAAGTGGTTTCTGCCACAGTGTTTATTTTTTAATAAAATTAAAGGGCAAGAAACATATTTAAACCCAAATGGAGACTTTTTTTCCCTTTTTGGCCCCACTTGTCAGATCCCTTCTCCACTTGACATAATTCTAAAAGCATCTTATCTTGCTTCTAGACCTTTTATAACCTGTCTACATGACTGCAAGTTAGAATTCTTCACAAAGTTGTCCTGAGAGCAGGGAGGTGGTCTCCACCCCCCAGCACAGTCTAGCAGACTCTTAGCTGCGGAGACCAGAGATGTCAAATCTCATGTCAAAGCTAAGGTGCAGCATTCCTGTTCCAAAAGGTTCTGTGTTTTTACCATGAGATAGTTTGCCTTATCTCAGCCATTATATGATGTTAAATTAGCTGAACCAAGACAGACTATATTCAAGATTTCCAGAATGAACTTTTGATTCATGTGGTGTCCGTGGAATTGGCATTTCTAAGCTAAAGTTCCTTTAAGAAGAAGATACTTAATATTTATATCCATTATGATACAAGATGTTTACCTGCAGGAAAAAGTTCCCCAAGAGCTCCGGTTGAAAACACAGTAGAAAAGAGATGGAGATCAGTACACACATTCTAATCAGACCCACCAGACTTCACTGTCAGTTGACACAGAGTCTTTTGCTTGTGACCACCACAAGAGCAGCTTTCTATTAAATCATTTTGCCAGAATCATTGTGCGCTGTCTTTAAGGCCACACTCATCCCTGAAAACATCCCCGTGAGTTCCTAGCTCCGTGGTTGCCACAAGTGCCTCCTTCGGTCAGGCCATGAGCCATGAAGTGAGGCATAGCACTGAACTTAGTGGAAACAAACTCACTGAAATAACTGAAAATTCCTATTTTTCAAGTATCAGGCTGTGTTCAATGTTATATCGTTTATTATGTTTTTCAAAATTCTTTTTTTAATGATATTCAGATTTCTTCCAGCTTATTAAGGTGTGATCAGGAATCAAAATTCCTAATTTTAAGGTCACTTTAACACAGGATAATCATTGTAATAACAATTACAATGAAAATGTAATTGCTCTGCTACAATTTTATAGCAGTATGTAATTTTGTGGTATATAATTTTGACTTAATGCCACACTACTTGCTGCAACAACCTCTAGGAGGGAAACAGGCATCCGGCTTGAGGACAGGGTTGGGTTGAGGTGTGTATGTAGCCTCCCCCTGTCTTTCTTTCCACTGATGAGAGTTTTCTCTTCTCCCAACAGATACTTCCAGGGGTCCGGATCATAATTGCCAATCCAGAAACAAAAGGACCACTGGGGGACTCCCACCTTGGAGAGGTGAGATATGGGGTGTCCTCTTTAGGGTGTGTCCTCCAGGGTCCAGTTTACTTTTCCGTTACATAACTTCTGGTCTCCTTAACATCAGTGCCATCAATCTGCAGTGCACATTGAGAAAACAGATTTTATTGCTTAAATGATTCCATGAAAGTTCAGAGTTACAAAACAGGATTTTCTTAAGAAAGTATGATAGATTCTCTTCAAATTCAGAAAAGACAGAAAACTTAATGTATGTGGACTAGGTTCCCTTATTTCTTAGCTCTCGAATTTATTCTCCATGTGCCTGCCTTCCTTCCTGAGAGGTCCTTCCACCAGAAGACGACAGAGAACCTACAAAGCGAGTGCTGCTGCAACCTGGAATTATAGCAGCATCAATAAGCAGAAGCCGGTGATTAGAGAATAGCAGCTACGTATATGTGGCAGGTCGGAGGCAAACAGTGCACTGCACACTTGTGCTTCCTGTGCTTAGGAGCAAACCCCGCCACACTGCCCCAGGTGCTGCTGGCTGGACGTGACGGAGGAAGCACCACTGAGCTGCCCAGCCTCGGTCTAACTTCTTGACCACTGATTTCAAATTGCCTGTGGCGCACCTCCACCCCTGGTGAGACCATATGTGCCACACCTGTTCCTTTCTCCTCTTTCTCCTTCCATGGAGGAGGCAGAGCGCATCAGAAGGGAACACGTCCAGAGTGTCAGCCCCTGCACGTGCCAGCGTGTTCACCCCTCCTGTTGTCCCATCTGAGGCTCAACCTGTGCTGTGCTGTCAGGCTCCCTCATTACCGAGTGACTGCTGACAGCATATGTGGGAAACAAGCGTCCTCCTGAAACACCACCACACACTTGTCCCCGCTGCATCCCAGCTCAAGGACAGCAGCACATGCAGGCATACAGGTGAACACAGCACACAGGTAGACACGTGACTAGTGAGTGAGTCCTAACCAGCACTCAGTCTCACATCCCTTTTCTTCTGAGCTGCTTTTGGCCCCTCACTGGAATCTCTGGATCTTGCACAAAGATCAGAACAGAGATCATGGCATTCTATGCAGCTCTTATTTAGAAGTTTCCATTGAACACTGTCCCAGAAATGAAACTGGGATGTAGAGCCTGCCTTTTCAGGGGACCTAGGGGGTCCTGATATGTGCCTCCCCCTGGCCTGAGAGCTGCATGCCCAGGTCAAGGCAGGGCTGAGGTCAGAACTCTCTTTCTCTGAGGGCAAACAGGACTGGTAGAATTTGCAAGCTGATATTCTTCTTGGGAACGCATCTGTTTTTTTCAGCTTTATTGGGCATAATTGACAAATAAAGTTGTGTAAAGTAAGGTGTGTAATGTGGTGCTTGATGTCTGTGTACATTGTGAGATGACACCCCAGGCAAGGCAGTTGACCTGTCCATCACCTCCCACAGTCACCATTTTTGTGTGTGGTGAGAACATTTAAGATCAATTCTTTTATCAAACTTGAAGTGAACAATGCAGTATTATAAACTATAGTCACCATTTTTCAGTATAGATTCAGTAATGAAAACGTCAATCCCAGAATGTCTTTAAACACTCCGCACTGTAGAAGGCTCTGACTCTTCTGCTCCTCATTGTACAGACGCAGCTGCATGAGAGGCTTTGGAATTTTCTGGGTTTAACTATTTCCACGTTTCTTCGTAATCTATGAGGTCATACCCAGCTGTCAGACGTTCAAGCTTTTCGTTTCCCGTTTTTTGATGTTACGTGCCTTTCCCCCTTAGATTTTGTTTTGTGTTGTTTTATTGTAATATATTTCCAAAGATATGCTAACCAAATGAAAAGGAAAAAGAAATCTTGAAGCTTTTAACATTTTGTCCCAACTACTGTTTAGAAACAATCATTACATTTGGAAAAGTACAAGGAAACTAGAACAGCTTTGTTCAGTTGATGTGTTTATTCTTAAAAGCTGTTTTTGAAATCTTCAGTTAATCTGCCTTAATAAAATTCCCTAGAGAGAGATGGCTTGGCTGGTAGCCTGGCCATAAACTTGGTATAGTTTATTTCAGTAAACTCTGTAGGCATCTGCGTGTCTCCCCAGAAACCTGAATGAGATTAGCATCATTTGTTTCTTTGGTCCAAGGAAAGCTTTCATATCACTGAAAATAGGTGTAGCCTCACTGCCCTGGAGATGGTCTAAGTTAACTCATCCAGGTGACATTTCGCTCTGTTTACAGATTTGGGTTCACAGTGCCCACAATGCCAGTGGCTATTTTACTATTTATGGAGATGAATCCTTGCAGTCAGACCACTTCAGCTCCAGATTAAGTTTTGGAGACACCCAGACCATCTGGGCACGGACAGGCTACTTAGGGTTCCTGCGGAGAACGGAGCTCACGGATGCAAATGGAGGTGAGCCTCGAGGTTGGGGCCCCATGGAGAGGTGGGGTTCCCCCAGACCTGGAGTGCGTGTCTGAAGTCTGAGAGCACATGTGTGCTCCTGCTGCAAACCTGGAAACAGCTGAGTTTAAGGGAGACGAGGGCTACATGCAAGCGCCAGTGCACTGAGGCTGTGGTCACGCACCTGCATTCTCCCAGGAACCACAGGCAGACTTAAACCAGGGAGGAGCAGGCTGCTTGCTTTTCCCATTCACATGTGGAATTACTAACATGGTGAAGGACTCCGGGTGATGCAGTGGGAGGGAACTGAGATTGAGTGTGGCTGTGCCACATCACGTGAGACTTGGACTCAGCAAGTGCGTGCCACCCACAGTACTTGGGCTACTAGGTACTAACTAGTACTAACTAGGTACTAACTAAGTCCTTTAGTTTCTATGGGTGAATATGTGGTTATGTATGTAATGGTGCACAGAAGCTGAACCTAGAGAAGGCTGCTTCCTGCTGGTGCAGAGCAGAGGGGACTGGCTGCATGCCCAGCATTTGCCGCAAGCATCTCAGCCTGCAGCAGCCCTCACCCTGCAGAATCCCCCGTGGAAGGGGACTAGCCAGCCCTCGACCCCTGGTCCCATTTCTTTGCATCTGTCTCACTCAGATGTAGATTTAATCCTTTGGGGGGAAAAAAAGGATGGCTCAAGCAGCCTGCTGTGGAGCTACAGATGTTTCCTTCCTACACAGAGCGCCATGATGCCCTCTACGTGGTGGGAGCATTGGACGAAGCCATGGAACTGCGAGGAATGCGCTACCACCCTATTGACATTGAGACCTCGGTCATCAGAGCCCACAAGAGCGTCACAGAATGGTGAGTGCACAGGGCAGGAGCAGAAGTCGTGAGGCATTGGGGATTTGGGGGGCAGTGGTGGAGGAGGTGTGGTGAGATGGGCTTAGGGGGTGGCTGAGCACGTGACTGTGAACTTTGATCATTGGCTCCTCGCATACAGTTAGTGCATCTTACGCCACAGGAAATGATCGATTTCAGAGCCCACAAGAGCGTCACAGAATGGTGAGTGCACAGGGCAGGAGCAGAAGTCGTGAGGCGTTGGGGATTTGGGGGGCAGTGGTGGAGGAGGTGTGGTGAGATGGGCTTAGGGGGTGGCTGAGCACGTGACTGTGAACTTTGATCATTGGCTCCTTGCATACAGTTAGTGCATCTTACGCCACAGGAAATGATCGATTTTTGTTGCCATGAAAACCACTTGATAATGTTTTCTAGGAAGCCAACTTCTTGTTTGTTTTTAATTTACAAAAGCATGATTTAGGGGGAAAGAAAACTTCAAAGGCAAAGAAATGCTTTTACGACTGTCAACTTGGATAATGTGTTATGTGGTAAAACTTCAGTTTTGTGCCTTATGATTCATTTAAGAATGAAAAGAAACTCAGCACCACAAGCTGTAGGTTTGTTCATTAACTTGACCACAGACAGGTGCCTAACGAGGGACCCCTGGGCTCCTGCCTAGCAAAGAGCCTGATGAAACTGATCTTAATCTTAGGCCAGAAACTGTAAGGAGGTCCATTCTGCAACGTCTTAGGAGTGGTTTCTCCTGGTTGAGTTGATTGGTCCTGAGATTATTCATTCCTCCGGTCAGCTGGCTGGTTTGCAGCTGGCAGGCTGGTGTTGCCGTTTACTGAATCTGAACATTGACTGCTTGGCAGAAGACACAAGATGGAGTTTGTGTGCCATGAATTGTCCTGTGGTTCAGATTAGCCAAGTCCCTGATCACTCTCAAACAAAATTCCTCAAATTGTCAAAGCCATCTCTCCACTGAGTGTAGAGAGAGAACAGAAACCCTAGAAAGAGATCAGCCCAGAAACTGGCGCAGGGCCGGCCTCATTTCCCATCTAAGTGCTGTAAATAGCAGCTACAGCTTCTGTTTCTGCATTTTTGAGAAACTCCTAGTCAGCGTTTATCACCTCTCTCGAGTATTTGCTGTCCAGTTTCCAGCTTATGTGTGCGCGCAGGGCCGGCCTCATTTCCCATCTAAGTGCTGTAAATAGCAGCTACAGCTTCTGTTTCTGTATTTTTGAGAAACTCCTAGTCAGCGTTTATCACCTCTCTCGAGTATTTGCTGTCCAGTTTCCAGCTTATGTGTGCGGCGAGGGCCTGCCCACTGCCCTTGGTGCATTCTAGACTTGATTCTGAGCACCGCTGTTGTCACCTGCCATCTGCGTGGCCTCTGACCTCAGTGTGCCCCTCACCTGGTCAGGGATGCACATGCACCTTGTTCACCTGAGTGCCAGAAAAAAAAGAAAAGCACATGGTCTTCTTCTGATGAACTTTCAGTACGTTTGAAACTATTGGGGCACAAGTCACCTCATCCCCTTTCCTCCTTTGTGCCATCTCAGCATGCACAGCACTTGGGGAAGCTCTGATGGACGGAAATCAGCACCACCCGTCCAGGGCTTACTGGCCAGCCCAGGACAGCACAAGGCAGGTGCACACTGCCAACTCCCCAGGTGCGGGAGCCACGCTGATTCCTGAGGCTTCAGGACTATGTCCTAAGCATCAGATGCCACAGTGACATTATGCCCAGTGCACCTGAGAGATATCACAGACACACAGCATGAGCTCACCTGGGCCACATGGAGCAGTATTTCAGTGTCATGAGGACTGTATTCTGGGAATTAAGCACCAGCACATCATCTTGGAAACAGTTCCCTGCAGGATTCTTCCCTTAGGTAGACGTCTGTTACAAACTAAAATCCAGGAAAGGACTATCAATCCCCTTCCATCTTGCACATGTATTGTCTGTACTAAGTAATGCATTTGTTTCTAATAGACTTATTCTCACACTTACAGAAAACAACAGTGACTTTCCCAAAATACATCCTGTTTTAACTAGGGTACAACCTCTTTGTCAAGAGCCAGAAGCCCCAGGGCCATGTTCTCCACCTTGAGCACCAGGGTTTGAGGATAACGGGTCCTTACACAACCAGTTCTAAATGCCAACTCTATAAGGTTAACGTGGCTTAAAATATAAAACACTGGGTTTTTGCTTTCACCAACTGGGAGGTGCCCTTACCACTGAAAGACAACTAGAGCTCAAATAAAAAGCTTCTGGACAAATCTTGAACATTCTAGAAGACATACCCGCATATGGTTAGCTGTTGCTACATTACAGTTGTCCCCAGTTGTCTTTAGGACAGAACCATTATTAAGCCCACGTCTGCAGTCGATGGGCTGAGTCAGCTGCTGGTACACCTGGCCAGTGGCTCTTCTCGTGTTTATCGTCCTCCAGACCAAAGGGCCAACTGGGGCATGTCCCTATTCTGGCAATGGCAGAGGCTCCTCAGGTCAAATCCATATGCCCCAGCCTCTCTGGAGCCCCTGCCCTGCCCCGACCCTGCTGAGCCCAAGCCCTGGGGCAGGGAGTGTGCCCACCTTTAGGGGCAGTGCACAGGAGGTATGGGCTAATGATGCGTTCTGTCACCACAAGCCCCTCGCAACAGAACTGCAAACAGAAGGAGCAGGGTCACTTGAGCACAGGTGCCAATGTCACCACACCCTGTGGTTGGGGACTGGTCTTCCAAGTGCAGCACAGAGGCAGACCCAGACCCCAGACTCCTCTAGGGAGGTGGGAGTGACCCTGCACCATAGAAACAGGGGCTCACAGAGGTAAGGAAACTTTTGCAGGAGCCACCACAAGAGGCCAGCAGGAAACACTAGCAAGGCTGCGTGCAGAGTGCAGGGGGTGGGCACAGGGTGAGCCCACGGAGGAAACTGCCGGATGCCATGGCAGAGCCATGTGGCCCAAAGGGAGCTTTTCAAAAAGAAAACATAATCCCTAAATGCTACGCATGCCGTGTAGCAATGCTTTTCTTTCCTGTCTTCTAGTGCCGTGTTCACCTGGACAAATCTGCTGGTGGTGGTGGTGGAGCTGGATGGGTCAGAGCAGGAGGCCCTGGACCTGGTTCCCCTGGTGACCAACGTGGTCCTGGAGGAGCACTACCTGATCGTGGGCGTGGTGGTCGTGGTGGACATCGGGGTCATCCCCATCAACTCCCGCGGGGAGAAGCAGCGCATGCACCTCCGCGACGGCTTCCTGGCTGACCAGCTCGACCCCATCTACGTGGCCTACAACATGTAGGCTCGTCTCTTTGGCTTCTGTGGACTTACTGGAGAGTAGACATTTTCCTCCATGTCCACTGAGACGTGTGGAGCTAGGGCAGCATTCGCCAGGATGCAGGAGGCGGGCGGTGGGCTTCGCACCGCAGTCGCGACTGGCCTAGAGATGAAATGTGAATTTACCACTGAATTTTGCTCAGAAGGACTTTGGATTACTGCCTTCAGTTTGTTGGAAAAACCCATTTCAAAAACTTTTTTTTTTTTTTTTTTTTTTTTTTTAATTATTGGGTAATAAGTGCTTTCTTCGTAAATGTGGTATTTTGTTAAGCCGAAATAGCAATTAAAAAAAATATCCTGCCCTCCAGATGGGTTCTTTTAAACAATTAATGTAGTGTGACAAAGAATTGTTTTCTCTGTTTTAATGTGTCATGAAATCTTAATGACATGGATCTGTTACTAATTTAAGCCATTGCTAGATCTCATCCTTTTAGGAAAGTTTATTGAGGTACGAAAAAACCTTCCAACTAGCACCTTCCAATTAGAGTTAGCAGCTTTCTTTGTCAGAAATGCGCTGAAGGGACAAAGTCTGGCACACGGCCTTTGACGTTGGCCTAGAAGGAGAAGAAATTATAAATAAGGTGTATTTCGGCAACTATCTTGCAAATATCTTTGTACTAAACTAAACAGATAAAATAAGTTAACTTCCTCAATATGTAATTATGTATAAAACGTTTAATTTATTTTGATCTCTTTAGAAGTATAAAAGAGAAAAACATTCAAGAATATTAAAGTCTTGTAATGTTTGCTAATATAAAAAAGTGTTGTATTATCTTGCGTGGATAGTATCACAACAAATATATATATATGAACTATAAATTCACTCATGAAAAGGAGATTTTAAAGTTTAAAATGCAGAACTTGTCACTTGCATGGTGTGCTCTGCACTGTACCCACATACACTTCGCTGTTGGAGCAATCGCAGATTGCCAGTAGCCCTGTCGAAAAGTTTCTTCTAGAACCAGAGACCAGCAAGTGAAATTACTGCCACCTCAAAGATGGTGACGGAATTTAAAACTAAATGTGCACTATTTTTTCCTTTGCTGTGGAGACAACAGTGAATGCGTTTATTCCAGCATGTGCTGAAGGCACTGAGGGGCTTTGGGTTGGCAAATAGCACTGTTTTCTTAGCTGCAAGGATTCGTTGCACAATGTTTTCATCATTTTTGTTAGTGTCACCTTTTTTTGGTGTGAAAAGGAACGATATTCTGTGGTCATTTGCATGGGGTTGCGTTGACTCCCCCCAGGCGGCCACTGTGGGGAGTGGACAGTTTTAAGGGAAAAGACTCTTGTAGGCAATCGTCCCCTCGTCTTAAGACCCAGCCAGTCTGTGTGAGCCTCTGGCCGCGGGGCTCCACAGCTCTGCACGAGCACCCCTGGGCTCACAGAGAGCCCTGGCTCTGCCAGGAACCCTCTGCTGCGCCATCTCGCCGCCTGCGGACAAGCGCGTCCCTGGTTTCTGTCTCTGCTGCGCTGCCTTGCGCCTTTTAGTTTTCAGAGCTCCTCTGTGCACTTCTAAGTTGAGTTGGCTGCCGGTATCCAAACGAGAAGGAGATATCAGCAACCCAAGAGGGATTTGTTTCATAATTGTCCCAGTATGATCCTGCAGTGGCTCTCGGTACTAGATATGCATGACTAAGACTGTTGCTGGGCAAAATTTAGATTCTGTTTTCATTATATTGTAGGCAGTGTCTTTGCCTTTGCTATATGCAGCCAGCAGTAAGCCCTTTGCTAAAAGAGAGTTTTGTTTGACTTCTGAGATCCAAGGCTGATTGTTTTTTTAAAAAATTTTAAGTGGCACATTTTTTAAAAAAATTTCTCTGCATCCTTCCATCTCCACAGATCATCTGATTCTTCAAATATTGCTTGACCTCATTGATACATATGAATATTTCTCTACATGCTTCAGATACACATTCCTACAGTCTTCTGCTTCCTAAGGGGGAAAAACCCCACCACACACAGAAAAAAAGACATTTTCTTATACATACCTATCTTGTTTAAAGGCAAGTTAGATTAGGGTTTCAGATAAGATACTGATTGTGAAACATAACTACGATGTGCAAGAAAACTTGTGAGGTCCAGCTGATGTCAGGAAGCAAAGCAAACTTGGATGTCACTTTAAACACAATTTAACCTTCACCATATCAACTTTACACTCAAGGAGGGCGAACGCTGCCGTGAAGTTGCGGTCACAGTTAACAGCAGATCTGCATCCTGCCACCTCTGACGTTAGAGTCTAGGTTCAGAAGAGTTGGTGGACTGGAATGGGAGTTTGAGTGTGCAAGAAGAGGAAAGGAGACACTTAAGTACCACCAGTTTCAGCAATAAAGGAGGATCTTTCTGTATTAGAAATTGTACTGTAGATAAATCATTCATGAGAATGTAAAAAATGTTTGTCTTGTGACCTTGTGCTTTTGAAGTCAGACAAAACCGTGTAATCAACTTGCACAAAAAGAGGGTACACAGTGAACATTTAAACACAGACCTAATCAAACAGGAGCAGATTCCTCATGGTGCTTGTTTATTATATATATTTAATCCTGCTTGACACTTTACCCAAGGGAAGCAGTCCCTTTATCAGTTGGATGTTAGCAGCGTTATTTCAGAGTGTGGTGACTGGTTAGAGAAATTCATGTACTCAACCAATCACAGTTTCAAACAAAATTTTTATGTGCAAAGGACAGCAACCTTCTTGTATGTTAAACCACCAGTACGCTTTGTACATCTGTGATAACGCCTGTTTTATATTCAAATGAACAAATAAAAGCTTTTATTTTTGTTGCTCTGAAAATAGCAGTTTCTTAATTGGTCCCCTGGAAAAATGTCTGGGACAGCCTCTATCCCAGGAAGGAACTGACTCCTGCAGGGAGATGTATCTGCCTCTGTTAACATAACTTGTTGCATAACTTAGTACAGATAATCATACTTTGAACAATGTGTAAATTTTGATGTGGGCATTTATTGCTAAAAATAATTCCTATGGCAACAGATGTTTTGTGAAATGTTTTTTTAAATATATCTAAATATATTTGTTCACATTTTGCTGCAAGCGTACAGATTATTGGTATCTTTTGGGGACAAACAGTGAGCGTGAGTTCTGTGTGCAGATACCTTCTGCCAACTGCATCACAGGGAGCTTTTGCATGTCAGAAGTAGAACTAATTTTTCCAACCCAAATGTCTTTATTCCTTTGACAATCAAAAGCTGTATCTTTTGCCCAAGATCTGAGAATTCTTATGGCTTTCTTTTTCAGAGAGCGGTAGCAAGTTAATGGATCTTCAACCTAATGGTTATAAAAAGATAAGTGTTTATGCACAAGAAAATCAGTAGAACTCAAATTTGCACACAGAGCACCAGGCTTAATCTGGTGCCTCTGTATTAGAAACCCACTTGCCATCCCCCCAGCTTTCGTTCAAGACAGTCTCGTGCTGACTGGGGGACGATGCTTTGGGTGTGTGAAACTTGGGTGGCAGGTGTAAGACCTGCCTGTCTGCATCAAACTAAATGGACCATTGCAAGGAAGGGACGTTTCTTCACGATCCCGTTTTTAAGGTGGCAGCTGTCATACAGACTGGTCAAACACAAGGCATCCGAGAGAATGGTTCCTGTGGAGCTCTGCTTTAGACTGTGTGCGCGCGTGTGTGAGTACAGAATTTTCTGCTGTGGTAGCACGAGGAAGAGTTCCCTGGGACACAGCAATAGAAGTTAGGTTGGCCAGTTGATGATCATTCTGTCTTATGAATCCTCTGTGACATGTCAGTCAGCTGAGGTTGGGGTGGTCTGTCTACCTGGACAAAAGCAAGAGGCTGCTTCTGTGGAAGTTCCATGGCCACATCTGCCATGACCCTCAGCAATGACAGATGTTTTCTCAGTAGAACGCACAATTCCTGATCCCTACTGACATGGTAAACATTTTATTTTCTCACATATTCCAGAAAGTCATGCTGGGATCCTATATAACCTCTCCTGTGATCCCTGGGTGACTGTCCCAGAGTGAGAACCTCAGCTGACATCAGCATTATGTCATGATGATTTCCCTTGGGCAAAATGAGTTACGGGCACGTTTGCTCAAATCTGGTGGGTACTCTCAGTTGCTAACACCATTTTTCAGTCTCTGAACAAAATAGCTGGGCAAAACCCAGAACAATCTGATACCTTAGCAAGTGATTTGGATTGGCCCCCGTGTGAATGTGGCAGGTCATTTTGTGATGTGACATCTTCAGATAGCTGACAGGACAGCTCACCCTGATTGCTTGAGGAGCATAGAAAGGCTTCAGCTCTGCGCTCCCCCAGAACACATCCATAAGTGGGACTCAGACTCCATGGGCAAAGTGAGTCTGTGTGTGACCTCTATCACACCATGGCCACTGCAGCCCCACGGAGAACGGCATTCAGGTGGAAATGGTGGAAATAGAAAGGACACAGCAGGCTACGCCATGAACTTCACGACTCCATGGGCAAAGTGAGTCTGTGTGTGACCTCTATCACACCATGGCCACTGCAGCCCCATGGAGAACGGCATTCAGGTGGAAATGGTGGAAATAGAAAGGACACAGCAGGCTACGCCATGAACTTCATGAACAAAAGAGACCTTGTGAAGGTCAGTTACACAAATAGGGTCATTCTTGTCATATCCAAACTAAATCGGAGTCGAGGGGCCAGGGAGAAAAAGCACTCGAGACACAGCACCTGCTCCACGAGGAATTTTCTACAAGCCCCACTGCTGAAACAGCCTGCTGCAACCCTGACACTGGTTTCACCTCGTAGCTGCTGAAACAACCTGCCATGACTCTGAGACTAATTTTACCCACCACCATCGCTGACCAGTCACAGCCTGCCAACCCCCCAAACTTCACGAGTGCCAGAGAGCTTTCTTTCAAAGCAACACGTAGCATTTCTCTTTCTAATAAAACTCCAACCCTTCTTTGTTCTTTGGAAGTAGCAAAGATCACCCCATCTCTGTGTATGCCCTGAATTGCAATTCTGTTTTACCAAATAAAACGTCTTCTTCAGAGATTTGTCTCTGTGTTCTTGTTTGACTTTGGCATACATGGTTGTGAGAACGCGGGATCAGAAGCTGACTCACCTCGGGAAGATTAAGTGGCCCCTGGAACTGGGGCCTGAAGTCCCCACGCTCAGGCCCCTTGAGCAGCCCCATCACCCCCACTTCCATGG